GGCACTGCGCTACCGAGCCTCAGAGAGACCTAGACTTCGAAGCTCGACATAGTGCTACCGAGCCTCGGAGAAGCGCAGACTCCGAAGCTCGGCACCTTCCTCGGCACTACACTACCGATCATCGAAAAGACCCAGACTTCGAAGCTTGGCACCTTCCTCGGTGTAGCGCTACCAAGCCTCGGAGAGACCCAGCCTTCAAAGCTCAGAACCTTCCTCGGCGCGATGCTACCAAGCATCGCAGAGGTGCAGACTCCAAAGCTCAGCACCTTCCTCGGCACTGTGCTACCAAGCCTCGGAGAGATGCAGACTTCAAAGCTCAGAACCTTCCTCAGGTCGACAATTTAGCACCTTCCTCAACACTGAAGCTCGGCCTTCACCAGGAATTGGAAAGCCCCTCCTCGACAGCCGGCCGAGCTAAGCAACCATGCAATGTTTCAGCAAAGAAGGCCATGCTTTGTCCCAGCCGAGCATCCCACTCTTCGACTTCGAAACTAGGGGAATGGTGTCCAGATCCCAAAATTTCAAGAACAAGTTCCTCAACTGAAGAGCATACCCTCAACTTTGAAGCTCGACAGACCACAACCGAGCTTCACAATAGCTTGGCACCTGCAAAGCCTCCAACTTCAAAGCTCGGCATACCACAACAGAGCTTCACAATAGCTCGGCACCTATGAAGCCTCCAACTTTGAAACTCGGTATACCACAACCGAGCATCATAATAGCTCGGCACCGATGAGCCCCTCAAGTTCGAAGATTAACAGGCCACAACTGAACATCACAACAAGCTCGGCACCTGGAGGCCCTCAAACATCATAACAATTCGGCACCTAGGGGCCCTTAGCTTTGGAGCTCGGCAAGTCATAGTTGAGCATTGCAACGACCTCTGTTCCACAACTCGACAACCCCAAAGAAACTTGTCTTCGTAGCTCGGGGCCCCATGGCTGAGCATCACAACCTCAACTCCGGAGCTCGGCCTCCGACCAGTAGTAAAAACCCTTTCCTCGACATACGGCCGAGCTAAGTCTCAACTTCGGAAGCTTGGCACATCATAGCCAAGCATCACAGCGGCCTCAACTCCAAAATTCGGACCCAACTCCAAAGCTCGGC